CATGACTTAGTATCCCACTGGCAGTTGGAGATTATGGGACCCTTCACCCAAGGTAGGGTCCCAGTAGTTCACAGTCTTCTGATGATCACTTCTCATTTCACAGCTGTTTTAGTTAGCTTTTTAATCTTTGTGATCAAAAGATTCAACAAGAAATATAAGAGAAATAAAAGTTTATTTAGGGCTCATGGCTTCAGAGGTCACAGACAAATAGCCAATTCTGTAGCTCTCATGGGGAAGAGTATGGCAGAGGAAAGCAGCTCAGGATATGGCTATTAGGAAGCAGACAGAAGGGTTTGTGTGTGTGTGTGTGTGGGGGGGGGTGGAGGTGGAAATCTCTGCTCACTAGGGACAAAATATACCCTAAAGGCAAGTCCCCAGTGATATCCCTCTTCCAGGCATACTTTACCTGCCTACAGGTACCGCTCAGTTAATCCCTATCAGATTAATCCACTGATTATGGTACAACTCTTATAATCAATCTAATCTTCACCTCTGAATTTTCTTTTTTAATCACTTAAATAATTTTGTTTTAATGCGACTTTTATTTATATTTATCTCCATAAATTCACCACTGAATATTCTTGCATCATCTCATGTGTGAGCTTTTGGAGGAGCACCTCATATCAAAACCATAACAAAAGCTATACCAACTGAGTTGGATAAAAGCTTCAGAGAGAGGTTTTGGTATTGTAAAGACTTCAACTTATGGATTCAATGTAATCCTAACTTTTAAAGATCTCAGTAGATTCATTTTCCTTGAATGTGACAAGCTGATTCTAAAATTCATAGGGGAATGGAAAAGGTCCATAAAGACAAGGCAACATTGAAGAACAAAGTTGAAATATCTTTTACTATCAGATGTCAGGCTATTTTAAAGCTGTAGTAATGACAACACAATGGTATTGGTGCATGGATAAAAAAAAACCAACCCATGGAACAGATTAAAAAGTCTAGAAAAAGTCCTACATAGATACAGTCACCTGATTTAAGATAAAAGTGCAGTGGGAAAAGGATTTTTAAAAACCCAGCAATATAATGGGACTTTGGATATTGCCTAACAAACAATAGCATATCCCTTAACTGCAAAACACTGTAGAGGCATTCTCACTAAAGTTGGGAACGTGGCAGGGTGGTTTGCTACATCACTTCTTTCTAGTATTTTAGAGGTGGGGGATGGAAATAGGGCAAGTTCAAATGCTTCCTTTTTTAACCAGGGTTTAGCTATTTTTCTTGAATAAATGCTCCTTGGATTATTGCAAGTTTTTAATTACTTTTTAGAGTTTTTAAAAAGTTAAATTTGATAGGTTTTTGGACAGTGGTAGGAGAYACTTTGCCATTTTGGAAGTCATCCATTTTACTCTCAATATTGGGTAGGAAAATACCAAGAGAACTCTAGCAGATGCCTTGGGTGGAAGACATTTCCTTTCTGCCCTTGGTGTAACAGTGATCCTTCCTCTTGATCAGTTTCGGTGACCACAACCAGGATGTGACCCTTCCTTGCCCACTGGTCTGTTGTAACAAGAAACCTGAAATGACTGGGAAACAGCAGGTTACAGTTTAGAGGGTCAATTATTTTGTCTGTTGATGAATGAGTCGCTCTGTTGGGAATCAGGACCTTTCRACTCACCAAATTGTAGGACTGAGAGACACAAACACCCCACACAGGATACTAGGAGTGAGAATAAGTGGGTGTGTTGATTTCCTATTGCTGCTGTAACAAATTACTGTAAACAGTAGTTTCAAATTCACTTTCTTATAGTTCTGGAAGTCAGAAGTCTAAAATCCAAGTGTCAGAAGGGCTGTTTTCTTCCGGAGGTTTCAGGGGAAATTCTACTTCCTTGACTTTTTCAGTTTCTCAAGGCCACCTACCACATTCCCGGGCTCATGGCYCCTTCATCACTCCAACCTCCTGCTTAAGTTGTTGCATCTACTAGATGAACCTGCCTCTCTCTCTTATATAAGAAACTTTGTGATAATCCAGGATAATCTCCCTATGTTCAGAGCATTAACTTAACCAGGCCTGCAAAATCCCTTTTACCTGTAAGGTAACATATTTGAAGATTCCAGGTAGCAGGATAYGGACATATTTGGGGGCCTTTGTTCAGCCATCCCATAGTGGGAATTCTATTTTTACTCTTTCATCCCCAAATACATATTCTATCTATATGGAACACAGTACCATATGATGGGTATTGATTCAGTGTGCATACTGAGTCCTGGGGTGGCATTTCCTCTTCGGGAATTCTCTTCAAGCTTTTGCATCAGTTTCAACCTCAAAAGTTTTTTTACACCATTCCATCTGATCAGCATTTTCTGGGTCATGTGTATTACATGATAGGAGCCGTGGATCCCATGGTCATTTGCCCAGTGACACACCTCCTTTGCTGTAAACCAGGTCCGTAGGTCAAAGGCAGTTGAGTATTGATGGATCAAACACCTGTAAACCTTGGACAGTATTTTTGGCCGGCATCGTATGGGCAAGAAAGGCAAATGCATGTGGAAATAGGCAGTTTGTTGTCAAGGTGCATCAGTGCACCTTCCAGGATGGAGGATCCAGTATAACCTGATGACAAGTAGCTTGGTTTCCTTGAGGGGTGGCACTAGATCAGAGGCAGTGGTTAACATTAAGGAGTGGCTACTTGGCAAGTGAAGCAGTGCTGTTGGCCTCTCATGAGCTTGCCTCCCTGCAAGAGGACTACTTTGTTCATGAGCCCATTGTGCCTCTACTGGGGGAGTTGATAGATATGGGTGCTGAAATTCACCAATGAAGTCTTCCTGTCTGATGGTTGCTTAGTGCCTCTTACACAATAGATTAACTTTAGTAGGCACTATCACACAACACCAGGATCTTTGTGTTCCATCTCATGATTTTCTCCACAGCTACTTCTCCAGTTTCCTTTTCCCTATATTCCATTCTTTCTCATTCCAGACCCCTGATCAGCCAGCTAACCTATTTGCCACTTGCCATGAAAGTATACTCTTACTTCAGGCCACTTCTTTTCCCAAAGTCAATGAACAGGAATACTGCTTTTGGAAGCATTCCCCTCACTGTTGTCTTTTAAGACCACTACTGAGTGAGCCCTAGACGGGAGCAATCCATCATTGTTTTGAACTGATAGTCCAAGAAAACTCAGCCAAGTTAACTACCCTTTTTTTGCCTCTATCTACTAGCTGTAAGAGCCCCTCAAGTGGCCATAACTGTGAGCTGACATATAGACATTGTTAAAGTTATACCACCTGCCTATGCCACCTGTTTTCTCTGACCCTTACTGTCATCAGTTCCAGAGGGGGGTTGACTGGTGAGTCTGACAAAACCCAGCTTGTGGTGGGAAACTGACCACATGATCACTTGATATGCTCAGATCCTACTAAGGCCCATTRTCATGCACAGAGCTGGTGGGGGGTTTTGTTTTTCATTTTTTTTTAWTTTCATTTTTAAATTTTTGATATGTGGTTTGCTCCTGCAGATGATGAACCTTGCTTCAGAACACTTATGTTCTGTGTACCTTGTGATTCTCCCTCTGGAGCTTGCCATAAACTTCCTGGCTATTTTTCTCTTCACAAGTACTTTTACCACAGAATCTCCTGGATTGAATGGCCTGTGTGAGTGAGCAACAGTACTAATTACATTGCAGGCTTTACCTGCCATATAGCCTTTACGTGCTCTGGGTCACAATGAAAACTGGTACTTTTCAGCCTCACCCAGTTTATGAGTCAGAACAGTATCCCCAAGTTCTGAGTTGCCACAAAGAGGCCTGAAGAGCTCAGTATGATTCTTTCATGGTGGAATAATTTGGGTGAATGAGTGGATGACATGCAATGATTTGTTTTTTACTGTGAAGGAGATATCTTGGCCCTTAAGAAAACTACTGGATCCTAAAAATATAATTGTAATAAAAGATATTACAGGCTGCTGGATCTTATTAGGGATTATTCCCATTCTCCAGTGTATACTATGCTTACTGTTTATCTGACAGCACAGTGTCATCAATGTAGTAGGTCAATGTGACCTTTTGTGGCATGTTCAGACTATATTATTATAGAAGATGGAAGAGTTACATAATCCTAGGGCAAGACTATAAACGTGCACCATTGTCTGTCCACCATGAATTCTAACAGCTTCTGCTCCAGTACCCTTAGGACCAGTTCCATGCATATGTTCATGWCTCCTCTTGGTTTGTGTTGGCTAGGTCTATCTCCTTTGCCACAGGCCTATTTGAAATCGATGAAAGTAGGCACCCAGAATGAGAGGGAAAGAGTTGCTTCATTATAGTGTTGCAGGACTGTTGTTTTCGGTTTTTTTATAACAGGTTTTGTTACCTTTGAGTTTTTTTTAATTAATTTTTTTATTTATATGTGACACAGGAATGCATTACAATTCTTATTACATGTATACAGCACAATTTTCCATATCTCTGGTTGTATACACAGTATATTCATACCAATTCATGTCTTTATACATGTACTTTGGATAATAATGATCATCACATTCCACCATCATTTCTAACCCTATGCCTCCTCCCTTCCCCTCCCACCCCTCTGCCCTATCTAGAGTTCGTCTATTCCTCCCATGCTCCCTCTCCCTACCCCACTATGAATCAGCCTCCTTGTATCAGAGAAAACTTTTGGCATTTGGTTTTTTGGGATTGGCTAACTTCACTTAGCACTATCTTCTCTAATTCCATCCATTTACCTGCAAATGCCATGATTTAATTCTATTTTATTGCTGAGTAATATTGCCTTGTGTATATATGCCATATTTTTACTCCATTCATCTGTCAGAGGGCCTCTAGTTAGTTCCACAGTTTAGCTATTGTGAATTGTGCTGATATAAACATTGATGTGGCTGTGTCCCTGTAGTATACTGTTTTTAAGTCTTTGGTATAGGACAAGGAGAGAGGGATAGCTGGGTCAAATGGTGGTTCCATTCCCAATTTTCCCAGAAATCTTCATACTGCTTTCCATATTAGCTGCACCAATTTGCAGTCCCACCAGCAGTGTATGAGTATACCTTTTTCCCCCACATCCTCGCCAACACTTATTGTTACCTTTGAGTTTTTAAACATRTTTAAGTAAGGCTTTTAAAAAAAAATAGAAACTACTAAAAAAATAGGAATTGGGGTAGTCTCTCCACCCATATGTATCCACTGACCTACCTAATGCAATAGTGAGCAGGAGAAGGCAGGGAAGAGTGCATGCAACATTTAGTTGGAGCCTTAATTCATTCAACATTTTTTTTTTTTTACTTTTGATTCAACCATGACCTTTAAAAAGTCAAGAGACAAATATCTATTTTGACACTTTTTGGACTGACATTGTGTGTGATGATCAAGAAATTCTGTAAGTTACTGTCATGTCTAATCAGAAAAACATGTCATTGCATTTTTAATACTTTAATATTCCCTTCATAAGTAAGCATTCTAAACAGTTTTAGCAAAAAATTCTTATGTGCTTCTCATATTGATATTTTTGTCAACTGAAGTACATGTGCATAGTATTACTAGAGTGAATTTCTAAAATGACTTTGAAAGTACACAACTATTACAAACTTTAAAGTTTAAAAAAACTGGTAAAACACATGAGAAAAAAAGATGACTGTCAGGGAATTGTACATAAGCCTTGAAGGGTGATGATTCATCAGMGATGAAAAGTATACCAAATGAGTCATACAATTGCTCCAGCTACTGCCTGAAGAAAATTTCCAGGCTGTGGCACAGGGAAGGAGAATCCAAGTGTAGGCCTAGCCAGGATCCCAAGGCAACTGGAGTTCACAGAGTAGAATACTAGACAGGAGAGAAAAGGGAGAGGAAGAGAGAGAAGTAATAATAGTTCTACACACTTTTGCAAAAAAAATGAGAATATATGCCAACTCATTCTGAGGCCAGCCTTTCTTTCATGAACATAAACACATTCTTCATTATGAACCACGTATATGAGGCTAATTTCTTGCACAGTACCATGTCACACAGTTGTTGGAAATAAGGATGGATAGATTAAAGACTCTTGGGAGGTTGAGTGTGCCTTAAGTATATTCTAAAGCATTTTAGAACACTGGGATTCTGATAAACTGTGAATTTATAAAACCTCAGTTTAACCATGTCCTATTTTTACTTAAGACATTTCCATGACRCCCCTTCCTACTCAACTTGGCTGCTTGGTTAGCACATCTTTACCCCTTGTCTCTTCTTCTCCCTTTATTTCGGTCCCCAGCCCCTCTACTGGGCACCTGCACACCCTGCCTTCACTCCTGGAATGCTGTCCCATGGTCCACTCACTTAATTCTACTTGCTCTTCAGCTCTCAACTATCATGTTTCTGGGGCAGCTCTTTCTGACCTTCCTGACCACGTCAACCCTCCTCCTGACTTCCGTTTGCACCATGAACCTCCCCTCCCAGCATTTACTAGAATATGAGTTGTTACATGAACTGTATGTGAGTGGTGTGATTATTTGATTAAGGCCTATCCATGGAGACTGGGATTGTTTGTTTACTATTTTATTGTTGTCTGGTTTGCTTATTATTTTATTCCCAGTGGTTGCCACAGTATATGATATATTGTTCAGGCTCAAAAACATTTGTGGAAAGGTGAAGAGAAGGAAAGGAGAATAAAGACAGACCATGGAGGCACAGTTTATATTTCCACAGCATGTCCACCAGATGGCAGCATTAACCGTTGCAATATCTGAAAAGGAACTTTGATTTCAAAATGCCCTGTTTTGGGTGTGAGCATTCCCCCACTGCTGGTTTTGTTACCTCTATCATATGTCTTATACATCTGGCCAATCCACTATTCAAAATACCAGGTAGAAGTATTTATTGCCTGTAAGTTAAAAAAAAATACAAATCATAACTTAAATAGGTCTGTTTATATGAATGTGGGAGTAGGGGTGGGTTTGCAGATTTATTTTTATTTTTATGTGAAAAGAAGTTTAGCAATTAGAACTTTCAGGGCTGGTGTAGTTGATCAAGGATATCCTTAGGAAATCGAGTCCTACAATCCTACTCTAGCATGCCTGGAGAGATGGCTGCTCTTCTTCAAGGTCAGAGACCCCAAGTCCTCCCTGGGGACTTCAGCCTTCATCTCCTTGCTACTAAAGACACAGGGGAGGCAGCCCTTCTTTTTTTAGGAGAAAGAGGGACTCAGATGGGTACAGTGAGTMAACTTCAGTGTCTCCTGTGGTGAGTGGATTCACAATGAGCCCCAATGAAAGGGGAGCCCTTTAAGAATGTGGAGAAGGGGCTASAGGAAGGACTCAATAGCAACTGCATGGTAAGCCCAAGAGAATGTTTCCCYGAAGACAGAAAAGGCCTAGCCTGAAGAAGAGTCTAAGGAGTTCTYACTTCCTCTGCCTTTACCTGATTTACCTCAACTCAAAGTTAAAATTCAGCTCTAGCTTTCCTTCCTAAAGATTTTCCAAGTTTTCTTATTTTTTTTTCAATGACATTTACTTTTAATTGGTAAAAACATAAACATTGTACCATGTAATGTTTCAATATATGTATACACTATGTTATGTAATATTTAAACCTGGTCCAACATCTGTCTCCTTAGTTTTCATTTCTTTATARTGAAGACATTCAAAGTCTTCTAGCTTTTTGAAATACAGTACACTACTATTATCTGTATATAACAGCACACTGGAACTCATTTCCTCTAATGGTAATTTAGTTCCATYCAGTAACCTTTCCCTACTGTCCCCAGCCTCTGGTAGCCACCTTTCCATCTCAACTTCTAAGAAATCAACTCTTTAGATTCCATATATAAGTGAGATAATGTGGTACTTGTCTTTCTGTGCCTGGATTATTTCCTGTAACATAATAATTTCCAGTTTCATTCATATCATCACAAATGACAGGATTTCATTCTTTTTGATGGCTGAATAGTATCCCATTGTGTATAGGTACCACATTTTCTTTATCTATTCATCAGTTGAAGACACTCAGGCTATTTTCATTTCTTGGCTATTGGGAATAGTGCTGCACTGAACCCAGGAGTGTACCTGTTTCTTCAACATACTGACATTCTGATTCACRTAAACTAAATGTATAGAAATCCCTCACTGCCAAATTAGGAAATGTGGTTACTGCATACAAGGCTGACAATGAATTAATGAAGTAGATATGCCAATTACTCTGATGATATGTTAATTCACTTAAACCTATCAGCTACCCTACAGGACATGTATGATCGTTGACCTAATATACAGGTGAAGAAACTAAATCTTGCCTCAGGTCACACTTACATAGAGCCAGGAGTTGCATAAATGGAGCCATAGTGCTAACAACTGACAGTGATTACACAGCTTAACACTAGAAATTTGGATTTCSTATGATTTAGGCAGTGATTTTAATCCTTTTTCTACCACGACAAACTTTATGACATCTCCCCTACATTCATTTAGGAATGCTAAATTGGAAGAATGGAGTTAATTACCCCCACTCTCATTCCCTCCCTAATTTAGTCATAACAACAAAACGGCATTGTCTTGATTTGGATTCATACTTGAGTCCACTGATTTTATTTTTCAAATAAAATCATCTCACACCATCTCACACTGTAGTCCAAGCCATCCCAACCTCACACCAGGACAAGCACAGAAGCTTCCTCACTGGTCTCTTCTCCAGCAGATTTCTCCAGTAGCTAGACTGATTTGGGGAACAGTATTTTCCACTTTAGAATAACCAATACTTGTGTAYAACTGCTTATTAGATAACAGCCATGTGAAATATTACAAAGAAACCCTAATTTTTTTCAAGGAAATCCATGACCAAATGAATATTGAAACCATRTACTCAAGGTCAGAATGAGGTCAGAATTCTGAACTTTATGATTACACAGATTAAACTTATTTTTAAAAAGCCATGCTGTTTTTCCTAGATATTTAGCACATTCCCAATGTGATCAATGGAAGTCAAATGAAATTATTTGGGTTGGTCTAGAGTCTGCTTTCAAGCCACAAAATATTTAAAAAGATCTCCAGAAAAAAAAAAAAAAAAGAGAGAGAGACCAGCCTGAGTTAAAGCCTTAAGGGCCAGCCTGAGTGAAGCATTAAGGGCCCCTTGGATCCCTTGTGTCACTCACTGAATCCACCTCCTCTAGTCAACTATAGGACTGGGCGACATTCCAGATCCAGAACTATGTGATCCACATGGGGAGCATAAGATTTCACCGGTTGGATGTGCAGGATTTGTGTCTTCCATGGTTTCCCATGCACCTGCTGAAGAAGAGTGGCAATTCGAGTTTCTGCAGATTCTGCCCACCTTTGCCACTCTAGCTTGGTGGCTTGTGAAAGCAGTTTCCTCCTAAAATCTCTGGCAGTTCCATTTTCCCATTCATTGGTGATAATTTTCTGAGGATAAGGCCAATGTTCTTTCTCCATTTTGCTACTTCCAGGAGGCTGGGGATTCTTCCCTGGGAAAGATTCCACATTTTGATGGACATGCAAAATGCCCCCAGTATCCTGTCGTAGCACCTGGCAGGCAATGGGCCAGCCTTCTTCTGAACTGGGAATCAGACCCAGGTTCACCCTATCTGCAATGCTTGAGAGCTTCAGCTTCCTGTTATCCCCAAAGTGTATTTGGCACCGATCTGCTACTCCGTTGATCTCCAGATTATTTCTCAGAGCGACTACAGCATGGGGGTTCCACTCACAGGCGTGGACAAAGGCAGCACCAGCATGAACTAGGAAGGGCAATGTAAAATAACCAATCCCTGCATAGAGATCCACCAGCACTTGTCCAGCACAGGGCAGCGATGCCACTCGCAGCTTTTCAGTGATGTTTCCRAAGGAGAACATGCACTGGGTCACGTCAAACTTATATCGGATGCCATTATCCACATGCTCTACCCAGCCATGGTCGCCATGCAGCAGAGTCACCGCTGGAGTTCGAGTGCCATCCGGGAATACCCGCCCTCGTTTTGCTAAACGCTGGACGCCAAATGCCAAGGCAACGGTCTCCCAGAGTTCTGGTCCCAGATTTTTCCACTGCTTGTTTTGGAAACAGTCTTCATTCAACAACAAAAGGTTACCATGTCGTTGCCAAGATCGGGGCAAATCAGCCTCCAATTCAGCCGACCACGCCACTCCCCGGCCCTCTACCCAGCGCCTCACCTCCAGACACAGTCTCTGGGCAGGCGAACAACCCTGGGCCTTCTTTGAAGGAAGAGGATCCAGGAGCTGCGTCAGCACGCACGTGCTGCCCGGGGCCACGCGAGTCCTCAGCTCCTCCAGAAGCTGCGCGGGGAGCGTCTCCCCCAGCACCGGTAGCGCCACGGTGCCGTCGGGCATCTTTTCCACGCGGTGCCGTCTATCCAAGAGTTTCTGCTTCTCGAGAAATTCCCTGTACCGCTGAGCGAACCGCCGCTCGGTCACAACTGCGACAACGGCCACGGACGTCCCATCTTCCCTCTCCATGCTGTGGCGCCCGCATGCTTTCCAAGCCTGTAGCACCACTCCGGGAAGGCTAGGTTCACCTACCTCGGTAAATTCGCGGACACCTCRGGGAGAGATTCCCACGCCGCGTCGAGGCGGAAGTTACGTCAAACAAGCCGGAACTAAATATACAGATGCGGTTGACGATTGGTGATCCCGTTGCCCTGGTGAGGCCGCTTCCGCCATCTTTGTTGTGGTCAACTATTAGTTACTACAAGCTAACAATTCGGAGGAATTTTACGGGGCTTACAGACGTCAGATTGTAAAAAGTTAACCTTGTGTTATAATTTTGGACAAAACATATCTCACATGTTCTACAGGTGTCCGTGTAAAGCTGAATATCTACAGCAAAACTAGTGGGAAAGTAATAATGTATTGCCCTCCAAATACATTATTTTGTGACCTCCAACATTAATGGTTTTGTAAGTCAATTAAGGGCAAATGAAGCTAGAAGGTTTGTTTAATTTTTACCTCAGYTCAAATTCAAACAGTGCAAATCGGAACCTTCATGCACTCTGTTTAATGCTGCTCATGAATCCAGAGAGACAGGTGAGCTGGAAATGATCGGCTGAATTTGCAGAAGGGCTGTCTGTGGTCTAGTGTTGCTAAAAGTCATCTTATTTCTAAAAGTGAAGAGTCAGATACAACTTTCCTTGCAAAGATCGTCATCAGTTCATTGTCCTGCAGTCCAARAATCAAGTGTTTAGAGGTCCAAAGGATCTGAGCTGAGGTGAATCATGTCATCTCTCAACTCTGGAATCTCCATTTTTAAAATGGGAATTACTTTAGCTGTCTTCAGAGATTGCTATTATATTGATTAAATAAGTTATATATAAAAATGTTTTAAACAATGACTAAGAGTCATACTCAAAAAGATATAATGTAACAAGTTGTATTGATCATATGGCAACTATTAAATACCCATTGAAGTGCTTTGATAACCCTAAAAAGAACAAAGATGGAATTCACTACAGTTGAATTAAAATAATTCAAAATTATAACTTTAAAGAGACCCATTTATACTTACCTCCCACCATTCTACAGATTAGGGCTCTGAGACCCAGAAAAGTTAATGTTAATTGAAGTTCCCAATTATGCTTTTGAGGTCTTTCTGTATGAACATGCTCATAGCCATTCAAGCAGTATTACATTTCCATGGATGTAGAAATAATCAGAAATTCAAACAAAGGTTGATAAACTCAAATGGTCCTGTTGTTTTACTTAAATCTGTAGACAAAAGTGTTATCAAACCTAGGTTTGGAGTCTCATCCTATGCAAAAATTAATGTCCAAGACACAAGGGGAGAAAGAAAGGCTTCATTCCATAGCCATAAAATGGAGATGAAAGAGTTGTATTGCATAATTTCTAGATCTTGGATTTCCCCAGGTTTCCTTCTAATAACGATCTTAATTTCACTCTATTGTGATCTGAAAACACATTTTGTGGTTTAAATCCTTTAAAGCCTTGTCTTATGGTCTGGTGTGTGGTCTGTCCTGGAGAACAGCCCATGGGCACCTGAGACAAGGGTGTTCTGCCATTGGTGTGGAGCGTTCTGTGCATGTCTGCCAGAGGATGTCTCTTTAGCTCACGCTCAGGTAAGATCCCTATGGCAACTCCAATCCGCAGCCAGAGTCTCAGTCCAGAAACCAGAGTGCCTTGTGCTCAGGGCTGGCCCAGACACGCAGCCTTCTTCTGCTCACCCTCAGCACACACCTTCCTTGCATCTCTTAGATGACTGCTCTCACTACMCAGGAAACTGCCTTTCTTCCCTGTGACCAGTTTATCTCTCAGAACTCAGGCCAGACAGCACTTCATCAGGAGAGCTTTGCCCAATATCCACTCTTCTCTCCAAGTCAGATCTCTATTTCAAAGCACCAGATTCTCCTCTTGTCAAACTTTCCAGTCATAATTTTTCATTTTTTAAATTTGATTCATGGCTGTCTTTTCCCAAATGTGTTTCAAGGGGCAGGAGCAGGGGGTTCCCTCTCRTTATCATATGTCCTTGTTGTGTTCTTAAGGACTTGCCCCACATAGTAGGTCCTCACAAAATGTTTTTAGGAGGAATGCATGAGTGAACAGATGGATGGATGAAAGGTGGAAGGAAAGAGCTGAGGGAAAATCAGTTCATGGCCTGAAGCAGTGGTTCCAAAATATTGCCACCAGATGGCAGCAATAACCAACACCAATGCAGGTGTAGACTCTGAGGACCCTGCAGGCATGTGAGATGGATTGGATGCCCAGGGCTCCTCCTCGACAGGCCTTCCTTCTTTCTTTATTCCTCACCTTTGTACATCCTTTACTGACCCGACTAATCCAGTGTGTTTGGCAACAAATGATAGATACCCCTACAAATGGCAGCTAAGCACTGGTRGGAGGTCACCCAGGGCTGGTGTGGCACCAGGGAAATTCAGTACATCACCCTTCTCAACCTTGGTGTGACCCTTGCATCCTGATGTCACTGAGCTTCCGAGCATCCCAAACAGTTGAGACAGAACAAAAAGAAATGAATGTCTGTCCCATGCGCTGGGACAGAATGGGTTCCCGTGGCCACTCCTGACCACTGGGAAGGCTGGGGAGGGGGCTGGCTTTACTCTCTGGGCCCTGTAACAGAAGACATATAAGGAGACAGAGAGCAAATGTCAGCTATTACATGGCCTTTCTCCAGCCAGCAGGTTAAAAAGCCCTTGGGAACAAGAGAGAGGCTGAGGAGAGGGAAAGAGCATCAACAGTGTCTGTGGGAAGCCTTCGTCAGGTGGTTGAGGTGAGGAGCTGCGCTGGCAGWTGGCCTCCCCTCCCCTTCGCCCAGGGAACTCCTACACATTTTTGAAAATGCACGCTTTTGAAGATCACCTTCTTTTCTTTTTCATCTCATCTGTATTGCTCTTTAAGACAGTGTACAAAAGCCAACCAACCACCCAAACAAAAACCCACATTATTTTAATGTCACTGAGGGAAATAATCATAAACAGTTTATAAAGTATTTACCAGGTACCAGGCACCCATTTCAATGCTTTATATTAGTTAATTTTTGTAAGGTATCTGTGAGGTGAATACTATTATTCTTTTTTAGAAAATTTATTTTTTAATCCTTTTAGAAATTATAAAATATACATTTGATCATCTTAGCCCTTTTTTGGTGTACTGCTCAAGAGWCTTCAGTACATTCACATTGTTGTGTAGCGGATTTCCAGAAGTTTTTCATCTTGTGAAGGTGAAACTCTGTGTTCCCAAATCAACAGTTTCCTTTCTGTCTCTGGCTCCTGGCAACAGCCATTCTACTTTCYGTTTCTGTGAGCCTAACKGTTTTGGATACCTCATATAGGCTGAATCATATAGGATTTGTCATTTTGTGATTGCCTTAGTTCACTTAACATAATGTCCTCTAGGTTCACCTCTGCTATGACATGTGGCAGGATTTCTTTCTCTTTTGAAGGCTAATATTCCATTGTACGGCTAAGCCATAGTTTGCTTATCCATTCCTCCAGTGATGGCATTTGGATTGCTTTCACCTCTTGGCTGTTGTGAAGAATGCTGCAATGAACATGGGTGCCCAACAGTCCTGTTTTAAAGAAAAGAATTTTKAAGTCAGAGAGGTTGTCAGCCAGCTGGGAAGGGGTGAAGCCAGAATTCGCAGCCAGACATGTGACTTCTGAATTGACATTTTTCACTACTATCACATACTGCTTTTAAGCATGATTTGAAAGCAGTGTTTTTTTGCAAAACATACTTTTCTGTTTTTGTAGTGCCAGGGACTGAACCCAGGGCCTTTTGCAGGCTGGGCAAATGTTCTACCATTTATCTGCATCCCTAGTAGAAAACAGTGGATTTTATATGTCTCTAAAATGATGTGGTGTGCTCCATGATTAAGTGAGATGGTCTGTATGGGTGAGGAGGGGAAATACTAAATTTTCTTCTGTTTATTTTTGATATATTGTATATTTACTTTCAACATCTRTAGATATGTAGTGAAGTATATGCTATATTATTTTATTTATCAATAAAATTTATAGGTGCATGCCATGTAGGTGATAAATGCTGCCAATTAATAGACTGGGCAGTGAATATGGTGTTTGTATTTCCATATGTCTCCACCAGGGGGAGGACTCACAGGTTGGTGACATTTCCAAAGGAAATGATTAGGAATTTCTCTCCCTTGGGCTGCAGTGAGGGCTGAGCCTTCTCCCCATCCTCCTGTAGGCTTTAGGAAATCACTGAACATGACCTTTCTCAGTCCATAGAGGAGGCTGGAGGGCACTCCTGTACCTGCATTAAACTCACCTCAGCTTTTAGCAGTTCAAACATCACCTCTTCCTACCTTCACCACTCATTTTCTTGGCCTGCCCCTGGCACACTCTCAGATCTAGAGGAACTCGGCCCTCTTTCTTAGAGTGCCATTAAATCTCTGTTCATGTTTCACATGTGGCACATGCCAGAATACAGAGATCATTGCTACACAGTGACCTCTTCAAGAACAAGAGTCCACATTTTCACCTTCTCTGCCCTGACCCGCAGCATAATGCCAGGCCGAGGAAGTGGATAATCAATARCCATTTGCCAATAAGTGAATTTTCAGAGTAGCTTTGTCTGTTTTCAGGAGACCAGATGTAAACAGTCTCACCCAGCTGACTTAAGGAGGAGTGGTGCCGCTTMCCTAAGATAGACTTTGGGTTCAACATCAGAAGGTTTCTTCTTGTCAGGGCTTCAGYTTCAGAGGCATTTTGTTGAAAGGGCCCCTCCCAAAGATGCTGAGTAGGAGCCTTCACAATGTCATCACAAGGTCATGTGCTTCTATAAAATTTGCAAATTAAGATGTCTTAGCCAAAAGTTGTCAAGATCTTGTGCTTCTCTAGGCCACCTTCCTCTCTGGCACGTTCCCTTTATGTATGTGAGGTGACATTAGAGTGGCCGTGGGCATTTTGGGGACCTAGGAGATATAAGATGAGAACACATYTAGTTTTGGTTTATTGGGGCCACATTTATGTGACTGCAATCACTTCCACGGATAGCTAAGTTTCTGGTAGCCACTCAGATGTAGGAACAGCTTCCAGGGGTATTCCTGCAGCCAGCTGCCGACTCGCCTAGCATCGTGGTAAGTAGATGCAGATCCAAATG